TTTATATCTGGGACTCTCCACCATTTGACCTTAGAACTGAAGAAGCTTCTCGGATGAGAGGTGAAACGTCTTCAAGCAACTTAAAGAAGTCCAGACGTTTTTCTTTGCAAGCTCCTTTGACTAAGGGTCATAGTAATTTACACATAGACTTGGTTCTAGTATCTCTTGTCTTAAATTCAATGTTTTCCCTGCTTTTACCTGTGCCTGACACAGGAAAGGTACCTCTAGCCACCAGCAGGTGGCATTTATGCATCTACAGAGTGACTGGCATTAAAGCGCAAAGTAGAAGAAGAAAACAACAATCACCAAACTGCTGACCAATGAAATGTGTGCTATACTGAAATTAGATGCTACTGTACAAACAGGAACAGGCATCAACAACTGTTTACATAAGGATGGCTATAAACTAGGAGGTAGAGTGGGCTGTCCAGTTTTATTTACATAGCTCGAAATCACACCAACGCTTTAAACTGTAAAAGACCCTACATTAATCCTCATGTTGAGGTGTTTCTATGTGATAAGAGTAAAAGCATGAATGTGTGTGAATGGGACAAATGTAGCTTGTAGTGTAAAAATGCTCTTTGGTTTATTCAATTCATTTGCAGTTAGAAGCAGGCGGGTTGGGTGGCGATACAGCAGGCAGGGCCAGTGCTGTGGATAAATGAACAATACTCCGCTCACCTCCAACATGCAAATATATTTAACTTTTCAGGCGACAGCTGGGCACTATAGTGAGGTCATGCGTTAGTTTCAGGTGAAAAAAAAAATGAGAGAAAATAATATTTTGACAATGACGCCCAACAGAGCTATCTCTATGATGAATACATGCAAATTCACAGGAACATAAACCCGAAGCTGAGCGTTTGTGCAGGTGAAGCTCAGGGCAGCCAGCTGACTGTTTAATCTGACGACACACAAATGTGCCTTTGTGTGAGTGGAAAATGCGTTGTTAATGATTGAAAACATGTCCTCAGAGTTTGACTCCTGAGTGCCACGGGAACCACGACGTAAACATTGCATCATCTCGTCACATGTGTGACGGGGGTGTGTCTGTGTGTCTCTCTGTGTGTGTGTGTGTGTGGGTGTGTGTGTGTGTGTGTGTGTGTGTGTGTTGTGTGTGTGTGTGTGTGTGGTGTGTGTGTGGGTCTGGCTGACTCACATGAAGCCATTTTCTCTCTGGCACTTCTCCAGCGTCATTTTAATGAGGCCACCCAGCTTGAGGAAGAACAGCTGCTCCGATGGTTTGGCCGTC